CAGCTTCTTCAATAAGTGGTGCTGGGAAAACTGGACAGCTACATGTAAAAGAATGAAATTAGAACACCCCCTAACACCATACACAAAAATAAGCTCAAAATGGATTAAAGACCTAAACGTAAGGCCAGACACCATCAAACTCTTAGAGGAAAACATAGGCAGAACACTCTATGACATAAATCACAGCAAGATCCTTTTTGACCCACCTCCTAGAGTAATGGAAATAAAAATAAAAATACACAAATGGGACCTAAGGAAACTTAAAAGCTTTTGCAATGCAGAGGAAACCATAAAGAAGACGAAAAGACAACCCTCAGAATGAGAGAAAATATTTGCAAATGAAGCAACTTACAAAGGATTAATCTCCAAAATTTACAAGCAGCTCATGCAGCTCAATATCAAAAAAAACAAACAACCCAATCCAAAAATGGGCAGAAGACCTTAATAGGCATTTCTCCAAAGATATACAGATAGCCAACAAACACATCGAAGGATGCTCAACATCACTAATCATTAGAGAAATGGAAATCAAAACTACAATGAGGTATCACCTCACACTAGTCAGAATGGCCATCATCAAAAAATTTACAAACAATAAATGCTGGAGAGGGTGTGGAGAAAAGGGAACCCTCTTGCACTGTTGGTGGGAATGTAAATTGATACAGCTAGTATGGAGAACTGCATGAAGATTCCTTAAAAAACTAAAAATAGAATTACCATATGACTCAGCAATCCCACTACCGGGCATATACCCTGAGAAAACCATAATTCAAAAAGAGTCACATACCACAATGTTCATTGCAGCTCTATTTACAATAGTCAGGACATGGAAGCAACCTAAGTGTCCATCGACAGATTAATGGATAAAGAAGATGTGGCACATATATACAATGGAATATTACTCAGCCACAAAAAGAAACCAAATTGAGTTATTTGTAGTGAGGTGGATGGCCGGAGAGTCTGTCACACAGAGTTAAGTAAGTCAGAAAGAGAAAAACAAATACTGTATGCTAACACATATATATGGAATCTAAAAAAAAAAAGCTTCTGAAGAAACTAGGGGCAGGACAGGAATAAAGACACAGACATAGAGAATGGATTGAGGACACGGAAGGGTAAGCTGGGACAAAGTGAGAGAGTGGCATGGACTTATATATACTACCAAACGTAAAATAGCTGGCTAGTGGGAAGCAGCCGCATAGCACAGGGAGATCAGCTTGGAGCTTTGTGACCACCTAGCGGGGTGGGATAGGGAGGGTCAGAGGGAGGCCCAAGAGGGAGGAGATATGGGGATATATGTATATGTATAGCTGATTCACTTTGTTATAAAGCAGAAACTAACACACCATTGTAAAGCAATTACACTCCAATAAAGATGTTAAAAAATATAAAATAAAATAAAATTTAGAAAAGTATATGTGGTAGTCAACTGCAAGGAAAAGAATTGCTAAACAGTACTTATACACTGAACGTGACTGGTATTACTCTCCTGTGGAATTCATTGTTGCTTTCTTACATGGCTTCCCTCAGTAACACTTGATAGGCTGAAAATGATAGGAAAAACATGTATGATTTGGCTTAACTTTCACGTGGCACTGGTAAAGTAGTTAAATTGGAAAGGTAAGAATAACAGAATTCTAGAGTGTTACTGAGAGCACACTGAAATTCCCTTAGCGGATATTTACTGAGTACCTATTACTTACCAAACACTATGTAAGATACTAGGGATTTAATAGTGACAAGATGGACAAGTTACTTCCTGCCAAGGAGTTTAAAGTTTAATGAAAGATACAAACAAACAACCAATAATAATACATTTTGATAAATGCTGTAATGAGTAGTTCTCAACTGGGGACAATTCTGCACCACCCCCCTCAGGGTCATTTGGCAGTGTCTGGAGATATCTTTGGTTATCAGAACTTGGGGGAGAGGGATGTGCTACTGGAATCTAGTGGGTAGAGACCAGAGATGCTGCTAAATATCCTATAGCATGGAGGACAATCTCTAAAACAAAGAATTATGTACATCAAAATGTCAAGCATGCCAAGGTTGAGAAACCCTGCTCTAAAAGTACATAAGAGGTATATCAAATCTAGACATGGGAGATCATAGATTTTCTAGAGACAGTGGCATGAAGGATGAAGAAAATATCCAAGCAATGGTGTGGAGAAGAATTTGCATGGCATGTACAGAGACCCAGAGGCTAGAAAAAGCATGGCATAAACACAGGGATTAATAGCCATCACCATCACCACAACTACTTATTGAAGAAATATTTTGTGCCAGAGTTTCTATAAGATAACAGATATAAATTTTAAAATACAGTCCTAATTAAAATCCTATGTGTCAGATATTATTTCCATTTCACAGATGAAGAAAAACTGAGGCACAGAGAACTAAATAACTTGCCCAAGGTCACACAGCTGGTGAATGGTGGAGCTGGAAGTTGAATCTAGGTCTTACTAACTCTACTAAGACCATGCTCAACCTCTAAATTCTACTGCCTTTCCAAGCTGACAGGGGCTGAGTCTGTTGGAGGAGAGTAAAAAGTGACACTAAAGGGTTGAAAGGAAGCACATTAGGACAGACCTCATAAGCATGTGAAGTAGTTTGGAGATTACGCTGAAGGCAGTGGGAAACCACTGATGGATTTTAATCAGAGAGTCACATGATAAAATCTGCTTTGAAGAAAGATCACTTCTAGCTGCATTGTAGGGAATGGAGTGAAGGAAAAGAGACAAGGGATGTTATAATTCATGAATCCAGAGATTATAGTATCCTGAACAAGAAAGGTGACAGTGAGGAAAGAATTCAAGCAAACTTCAAGGATTAAAACTCCTATTTAGTGACTGGTTGGAAGCCAAAGGAGAGGATGACATCCAGTTCCCAATCAGGGCATGACAGTGGACAAAAGTGCCATTCAGCGAGTAGAGAACACAGCTGTTTTGATGAAGTGAATATAATGAATTTAGTTTGAGATCATAAAATTCACATCTAAATGGAAAGGGAAGAGGAACAGCCTGAAGATAATAGATAAAGTGAGATATGAGAGGAGGTAGAAGAACTGGAGGCAGTTATGAGGACACTGAGTAGATTTAACTGAGATAGGGAGGAAGAGAAAAGGCTCTGGTCAGAGAGATCAGTTTTAGAGTTTGAGATCTCGTGGACCCTTCAGTTCACGTGGGAGTTACAGAAGAACATAGAAAATGTTAGAGTTAAGGAAAGCAAAGTGTGTCGGGACTAAGATGTTGCATATGTTAACAGTATGGATGTGGAAACCTTTCAGAATGATGAAAAGAGATAAAGTAGAGGGTGCTATGGACTGAATGTTTGTGCCTTTCCAGAAGTCACATGTAGAAATCTAACCCCCAATATGATGGAATTAGATGGTGGCCCTATGGGAGGTGATTAGGTCATGAAGGTGGAGCCCTCATGAATGGGATTAGTGCCCTTATAAAATAGACTTCAAAGAGTTCCCTTGCCCCTTCCACCATGTGAAGACACAGTGAGAAGAGAGCTGTTTATGAACCAGAAAGTGAGCTCTCACCAAACACCGAATCTGCTGGTGCCTTGATCTTGCACTTCCCAGAACTATGAGAAATAAATGTTTGTTGTTTAAGCCACCCTGTCTAAGGTGTCTTTGTTATAGCAGCCTGAAAGGACATAGACAAGGGGGAAAAGTGTCAGAGGCTAAAGCTCTTAAAAGGTGTCAAAGATCTTACAACTATTTTATAAACCCAAGTGATGGATGATTTTCTTTAAAAAACAATGTCAAATAGTGTCTTCCAGATTGAGAGTTTATATTGATTAAAATTAGGGAGAGGAGAATCAACGATGATTTCAAAGAGAAGTGGTAAACTAACTTCAAAGAGGAGTTAGTAGGTACGAAAGCAAAGGCCTGTGAACGGCAGTATGGGGTGATATGAATGCTGACCCCTCCATCACAGTCACATGAGATAAAATGAACAGCAAAGGGCTTCACTGGAGGTTTTGAGGGTCATAACATCAACAAGGGACAGCTAGAGTCAGTCCAAAGGAAGACGTGAGAGTGTTTGAGGAAGTAAAATATGTTAGGGCATTTGGTCAGAATGAACATAAGTCTCAAAAGGCATAGGGGCATTATGAGGGTCAAATGGTCTAGGAAGAGTTAAAGATGGTCTGGATAGAGATAAATGGGTAAGGCAATGACTGAGGAGAAGCTTAATATAAAGGTGATTAGCCCAATAGTTTAATAAAATAGTGATGCTACTATATGGCTTAGACCAATGTTATCTAAAGCATTTTTTGTGATAATGGAAATGTTCTATATCTGCACTGACCAATACAGTAATCACTAGCTACATGTGGCTACTAAGTACTTGAAGCGTGGCTAGTGTGTTTAGGGAAAATACATAGCAACTTTAATGGTTTAAGGTGTGGCCCCCAAACACAGAAATGAATCATCAGTAACCTCCTACTATTCAAAGTGCTTAGAACACTGCCTGATCACTAAGTGTTAACTATTACTGTCATTATCATTATCATTAAATGTGTTTGACTTAAGCACACAATGGATACAGACTCATAGCTAAAGATGCTATTAAATACACATATATTATTATTGTGGCATATCTGGATGTTCTCAAACTTTCCCAGGTATAGAGGAAAAACATCTGTCTTCACATACATGAGCATACACAAATGGGTGACTATGGGTGCTAATAGTTTCACTTCGCATTAAAAGTTATCGGCAAATAAAAAGATTAAGCATACAAGTCTCTCAAAGTACTGTATCACATCATAATACTATTCTTTCAATAGTGATACAGCAAGAGAATTTGCAGGGGAATAAGAATTCTCCAAAGAGCAAATTTGTTTACTTTAGAAAGTCAACATTAACAAACTGGTATTCACTTTGTGTGTTTGGAAAAAAACAGTTTAGCTATGGAGAATAACGAAACAAATACTCAGAAAAGAAAAAAAAAGGCAATTATGGCATGCCTTTATTTTATTAGACTTGCCTTGGTTTTCTCAAAGTTGGCCTCCTCAGTCATTTGCACAGCTTGTTTCACCTGCTCATAAGCACTTACTTCTCTTTGCTGCACCTCTGTCAAGCTGCTCCTCACAGAAACTAGTGCAGACATTAAGTCATCTCTTTCTCTGTCAGCACAAAAAGAACATTGAAAACAGCAAATGATCAAATGATCGTGTATTCATACGTCAGGAAGAAAAAAGCATTAATATGTATTAGAAGAAGAGCCAGGGCAGGCCAGCTCAGCACATATTCAAGCACACCCCAGAGAAAGACCCTCTGTCCTCACTTGGTGAGGGGCAGGCAGAGCAGCCAGAAAAGCCATGAGCATTCATGGCAGGACTGCATCCACATGGGATAATAACCAATTATGGAGAGGACTGGCACACTGAGGGCTGGAGAGGGAAGCCCAGAAAAGAGGAAATTAATTTAAAAATTAAAAAGGTGGGGGGCAGAAAAGGAGACAAAAGTAATAAAGTAGGGAAGGTGGGGATTGTACTTCAAAGCAGAAGTAACCATGGTAAGAAGGGACTACTGAAATTTTGTTTACACTGCCAACTCCCCTCTCTACTAGAACAAACATATGTCCTTGCCTTTTCATCTTCCTTCACAATCCTCTTTTTTACCCTTCTCTATGAATTAAAAACTTTCACCTACTTATGAACATATTTCTTCTTTCAATGGGTAGTACTGGTGAATCACTCAAGTGCCCTGGTTACACATATAATGCTCATTATTTTACAAAATCTTATCCCACAGGTTTTGACCCTTGCCTAGATCCATCCCTCCCTTAGCAATTTTCAGAAGTACCCTAGGCTAAGCTATTTCTTGGGGATAGAATTGAACTGAATGCCAAAATGCGTTGGCATGTAAAATAGCAAGGATCCAATCTTATGGATTAAATAAATCCATATAAAATTCTACATGGCCAGCCCAACACCAGGCCTGAGTGAGCCTCTCACAATGGGAAATTTTACATGATATATCAATGTGAGAATGAGAGGGCAGCTCTCCAAATTACCATCTTCCAAGGCAAAAGTTCTTTAACTGCTTAAAAATACCATGTGAATATTTTGATGAATATGATCAAGGAGTTTTTCAAACAAAGCAAGCAATGCAGCATTAACCCTGTAACATGCCATCATGATCCAGATGAAAGAGCAGCTGAGGCAGAAGATGAGGGAAGAAGCATGGGTGTCAGTTCTGGGATGAACTAACGAGCATGTAGTATTTAAGGAACCTAGTGCAACAATCAGAGCAAAAAGGAGAAAGTCCCTGAATAATCTTGGCCAATGTTTAAAATAAGGAAAAGGGAGAGTTGGGCTGATATATACATGAGCTTCATCTTGAAATATGGAGTGCCTAAGAAGTGCCTTTAATTCTTAAGTTATTCCACAGTTGCTAGCAGTTTTAAGCTTTATTAAGCATTGCTAATAAGTATTATCACTGTTTTTAAAAAGAAAGTCTAGAAGGCTAACTACAACATTTCCTTCTTCCTCATTTCTGGGAAGTTCCTACCCATAGTCTTTCAAAGCCAGCTATACAGAAGATTGCCAATCACCCACCCCCAAGTCACAAGCTGGACTGAAGTCCCAGGATAGTACAGTAGTAATCATTTCTCCTGTCTGAAAAGTACACTGAAGCTCCTCCAAGGCACTATGAGCTACAGAAAGGAATTTAATATAAAGCAGTTCCACCCTGATTCCCATTTGAAAGTATTTTGATCATTAAGAAAGAAAGAGCGGTTATTGTTGCTCTTACCTAGTTCATGACATAATGAGGTCTGAGTGGAAGGCAGAAATTAAAAAATACTATAAGGACTTCAAACCAACTTTTAAATTATATCCAATGTACTCAGCAGTCGTTAAGTATTCCCTCCAAAAAGTCCCAAGTGCCCTAACAAAACACCACAAACATATGGGTCGTCTGGTCTCCAGGTTGTGCCTGATCCTCTCCTTTTCAGCTGCCCAATGTTGTGTCACATAGTCAATAAATTACATGCTAAAAAATCAACAACATAGTTTAAAACTAGTGTTACAATGCTACATTTTGAATAGAGACCAGGAAACTCTTTTGATTTATCATATTTGGGATATAACTTTTTAAAAATCCATATTAGAGTCATGCAGGAAATACTATGATACAGTTCTTTGAGGGTTCAGGCTTCTAACTATGCTTCAAACTAGAAATCCAAACGTAAAAAGTTTTGGTCACTCTTCAAAGTCAGCATACACTCAGTATTCAGCATTCTGCATTACTAAACTGAAAGAAACTGAACACCAGCTTAGGTCATATAGACAAAGATTTTCATTTATAATAAAAGCAGAAACCTTCCATAGTATACTGTTATTAAGGTAGAACATGAGCCAACGACATGCTGACAAAGCAGAAAACCGAACTGAGAAGGTTAACATTTATTTTAAGAGGCTAAGAGCTGAAATTTAGGATAGAGACAAAGAAATATATAACTGAGCAAGAATCTAATTCCTAAATGACTGCCAGACTTGGAATCAATGAAAACACTGTAGCTTCCTTTCAAAATATTTTTCTCATGACCTAAAAGGATAATATGAAATGCAATATAATAGGGGGAAAAAAAGTTTTTTATTTGTTGATTGGTTTTGTCAGACTACTTAGTTTATCTTAGACTATCCTCTTTATCTGCATGACTTTGAATATGTTTTTCCATTTTAAAATTAAATTTTCATTACTTTCTCCTTATAATAAATTAATTACCAATATGGTTAGGGACCTATTTAACACATACTTTCAATTTCAATGCCTTCTTCTACTTCTCCAGTGGTAATCACTGTTAAATATTGTGTGTTTATTCTTTCATATCTTTCTCTACGCATATGTATGAACCTGGAGAAAATATATAGTAAGGTTGTGAATGGACCTCTGAAGGAATACAAACAGTTTCATACCAGGTATGTCTTTCTCATCTTGTTTTATTTTTTCCTTCAACAACATATTTTGGAACTTGGTTCCACATTAGTACATATAGATCTACTTCAATCATTTTTTTTTGGCTGTGCATAAAATTTCACAGTTATCTCAACTGTAGTTTAGTTATTCTTCTTTGAAGAATATTCAGGTTGTTCACATCTAAAAGAAAAACCTCTCGTTTTCTTCTACACCCAGTTTCTGTACTCACACTTCTGATACCACATGCGTAGGTTTTCCACATACAGCACTTCTCTTAATTCTCAGTGGACACTAACTCAATTCTGACACTAACTGCCTGGAGTTGGTACAGACCCCACAGGTTAAGGCTCAATCCCACAAAACTGCCCTCCACTTTAGGTGCCAATTGCAAGTCCCAGGTATCTTGTATCTCTGACCAACTGGCCAGAAATCATGGGTTCCCATGACCCCTTCTAGGATTAAATACTTTGCTAGAACAGTTCACAGAACTCAGGTAAGTGTTTTCCTTACTATTTCCCCTTTATTATAAAAGACACAACTCATGAACAGATAAACAGAAGAGATGCCTAGGGCAAGGTATGTGGAAAGGGGTGTGGACCTTCCATGCCCTGTCTGGGAGTGCCACCCTTTACTACCTCAATGTTTTGACCAATCCAGAAGCTCCCTAAACTCCATTGCTTAGGGTTTTTATAGAAGTTCCATAGGCATGCTTGATTAAATCATTGCCATTGGTGACTGGACTCCATCTCCAGCCCTTCCCCTTCCTAAAGGCTGGGGAGTAGGGACTGAAAATTCCAATCTTCTAATCATATGGATGGTTTCTGTGGCAACCAGCACTCCCATCCTTAGTGGGTTTCCAAAAGTCATCTACTTAACATAAACTCAGGAGTGGTTGAAATGGGCTTCTTAAGAATAACAACCTATTTCAGAAGCAGGAGACAAAACCCAAATATTAGTACAAAATATGTACCTATTACTTTTACCACTTAGAAAAATACAAGAGTTTTAGGAGCTCTATACAAGGAACAGGAGATGAAGACCAAAATACATATTTCTTATTAAATCACAATATCACGACACCATCACAAATAATGTTGCAAAAAGAGTTCCTACAAATGCCCCATTATGCACATACATACATTCTCTATGGTAGATTCTGAAATGTGTAATACATAATTTAAATATTAATGAATAGTGCTAAATTACCCTTCAAAGTAGTGTCAATTTATAGTTCCACCAGCAGGGTATGAAAATACACACTTATTCATAGCCTCATCATTCTTGACCCCTTTTTTAAATGTTCACCAATTTGATAGTTGGCATTTTCAAATGTATTTCCTTGAATAGTAACAGAATGAATACCTTTTAAAATAAGATAAAACTTGCAAAGAAGAACTAGATGAAGTGGAGATAAGCAGTCTCTAATAAAGAGTTCAAGGTAATGATCATAAACACGCACAATGAATTTGGGAGGAAAGTGGATGAACACAGGAAGATGTTTAACAAAAACTTAGAAAATACAAAAGGAATCAAACAGAGCTGAAGAATATATAACCGAAATTTAAAAATACACTAGAAGGAATCAATAGTAGGTTAGATAATACATAGGAAAAATCAGCAAACTGGAAGACAGAATAGTAGACACACACACACACACACACATACACGAGAAAGAAATACAAACAAGAAACTAAAAACAGTCATAAAATGAAAAAGGAAAATAGCAAAAGAAAAAGGGACAGAAAAGAACTTCAAGAATAACCCCAAAACAATTAACAAAATGGCAATGAATACAGACTTATCACTAATTATTTTAAATGTAAATGGACTAAAGCCTCCAATCTAAAGACACAGAGTGGCTGAATGGATACAGAAACAACAGCTGTATATATGCTGCCTACAAGAAACTCACTTCAGATCTCAAGACACACACAGATTGAAAGTGAGAGGATGGAAAAAGATAATCCATGCAAATGAAAATCAAAACAAAGCTGGGGGCAGCAATACTTTTATCAGACAAAATAGACTTTAAAACAAAAAGTGTAACAAGAGACAAAGAAGGACATTACATAACGATCAAGGGATTGATCCAAGAAGATGATATAACAAGTATAAATATATATGCACCCAACATAGGAGCACCTAAATACATAAAGCAAATATTAACAACCATAAAGGGAGCTACTGACACAATAATAGA